ATAACCAAAACTGGTCGAAAAAGTGGGAGCTAACAAGGAAAATATTTCAAGTCCACGATATTGAATGAGATCTTAGATTTTTCTCAGAATTGCTTAAAAAATAGAAATTGATAGGAAAATTTATTCTAAGTCCACAAGACTAAATGGGCTCTCAGATTTTCCTAAAAAATTGCTCAAAAAATAGGAACTTATAGAAAAAATATTTTAAGTTCACAAGAGACATAATAGGGCTCAAAAAATGTTGAAAGAGTTACAAGGCTCAAAGCAGTTATTAGCAATTACAATCAGTGAAAGGTTTAAGACACGAAAAAAGATCATGGACAATAGCAGTTATGGAAGAAGTCGCAACTGTCAGCACGATCATAAGCAATCATGGATAGTGGGCATTAGTGGTTGAAGGTAAGCACATATGGAAGACAGTTACTAAGAAGTGTCCGCGATAAGGGGAGATCAGGAGTGGTTCATTTGCCTATAAATACTATAAAGCTTTACATCACCAGGGATGACTTTTTGCACTGTACAACTGCACCCTAACTCTCTGCATGCTGAAAACCTGTACCGTGCCAGATAACAGCTACCAAGAGACTCATAGTCATTTTTGTTCACTATGAAGAGTCATACATTTACATTTCTACAATTTGTTTTAGTTCATTCTGCTTGTTTTTATTCCTGCAATTTAGTTCTTGTTTAGCACGTCTCTGTAAAACTTCTACATTCAACTTGGTTCTACATAATTATTATTTATTATTCTTGCTTAATATTTTGCTTTATAACATCAATTACGTTTAACGACACACTTAAAAGAATCTAAAAGGACTTAAAATTCAGTCTCAAATTACTCTTGGATTTATTTGTTTACATTCTGCAAGTAAACATAAATAAATTCATAGTTATGCAAAAAGTAAATGCAAACTAGAGAAATACTCTCAAATGTAGAAGAGATGAACAAAGATCTTGATCCAATGTACTCCTAAAGCTCTTGTAGTGATCAACGATTAATCAACACCAAGATTGAAGATGTAAAAAGATATGAGGTATGAGAAATATCAAAGGATGTTTAAGCTACTGTCCTTAAGGTTTCTTAAATATAGGGTTTGAAAACGATAAATTTTCTTCATAGTTGGACTTCTTACAGGTAAGTACAACTGTGTATTACCACCATAAGCACGATTGTGTATGTGGCTTGAAGCATGCTCGTGCTTGATGCTGGAGTATGGGCGTGCTAGTTGCTGCAAAGTCTTATTTTTTTAAACTAATTTGGGCCCAAAATATGTCCAAAACCTAAATGTGGTCTTTTTATATTAATATGCACAATAATAATTAAAATTTATGTACAAATATGATAAAATAATGACCACACATAAGTATATAGGTTATAAAAACATACCTAAATATAGACTTATCAATAATTAATGTGATGACAAGGCTAAATGTATAGTCATGGTTGATTATGAGTTCAAAAGAAGCTTCATTTCTTCAACAATAAATTTTTATAAAATGACAATATTTTCCCTAATTTAAGAAGAATCAAGTATTCAAAGTTGGATCAATAATAAGTTGTTATAAAAATAATTTGAATTTAACTTTTGAAATATTTACACAATGCCAAAACATGACATTAAATAAAGATATAACATTTTCAAGAAAATAAATAAATACATCAATTACAATTCAAATTTAATTCAATTTTTGAAATATTTTACAATTCAAAATATGACAAAAATTGTTCCAAATATATTGATAGACGATACCGAGTCGCTATCAAAATAACTAAGTTTTCTAAAGATTTTGTAATATAGAGCCAAACTTAGGTCGATTAACGGAGACACATTCTCAGTCAAATTCAATTTTAGATTTTCTTTTAAAAAATAAAAATAAGGTTTTTGGAATTTTAAAAATTTCAAATTAATCAAATTAAATTACAAACAAAGTTAAAGTGAGTAAAAATGAATTAAGAAACATTAATCCATATAATACTAATTGCGTGTAACTTTGACTATCACAGTATTTAAAGATTTAAATTTGCATTTGAATAATCACCCAATTCAATTATTAATTCAATTGAATAACTTAATTGAATAGAATTATGAATTAAATCAAATAATCATTTAACTCAATCTGCATTAATTATCAAATCAAAGTATCAATTGAGATTAGAAAAAAAATAAAACAAATTCGAAGCAATTTAGCACATAACTCAAGTTAGAATTATGACATTTGAATTCTGCAGATTAAATGAGAAGTTTAGTCTTCTATTGAAACGCTTAATCTACGCAAGAATGAGAAAAGAACGAGAGAGTTCGAGAAAAATTAAAAACAAGGATTCTTATTTTGGCCAAGTCTCAAAATCTCAAAGTATCTAATCACATCATACCCTAATTCAGAATCTTATTAGTCTATTTATAGATTATAATTAGAGTAAATTAAGTGTCTAAAATTCGGGTCTCAATAATATCTAAAAGCCTAAATACAATTATTAAATAACAAGGGTCCAAATGCAATCTTGCAAAATATTCAACAAATCTGTTTCAACTTCAAAAAATCATAAAAAAATTGAAAACAACTCCAAATTTAGTGATCTATATATGTATTTTAAAATCCTAGATGTGTAAAATTGGATGTAACTGTAATCAGCCAAAAAGGATATTTGTAGAAAAAGTTATAACTGAAATAGTAATCAGAGGTCAGAATAACCGAAAATACGAAATTAAAACATTTATTTGTAATAGGCTCAATTTATTCAAATAAATAAAAAATAATAAAAATTATAAAAATAAAGCATATGAAAAGTGTTTATTAATAAAAATAAAACTATAAATGTAAACCTAAAATTTGTTAGAGCATATATAGTAAAATCAATATTTAAAAATATAGAATTAATATTGACAAATTATTGAAAAAATTAAGTAAAACTAAATAAAAATTTTCATTTAATAAATTTCTTAACTGTTTTATTAGTATAAGTTAAATTAGTCTATAAATTAAGTAATATTACATCATAAATTTTAGACAACATTGATAATAATATCGTGATTTATAAAATAGTTGGAAATTCATAAATTTTTTAAAATTTTGACATAATTTAGTGTATTAATATGATTAAATATTATAATTATAGTTTTTAATAAAAATATATTATATAAAATTCGTGTTTAGTATAATATTATACTTGTTTAAAAATTATATTATTAAACTTAGAAATAATAATTTTGATAGACTACGAGTTGATTTGATAGTTTTGAAGTTTATGAGATGATATGGGCCATTGTAGACTTTCACGTCAAGTTAAATCAGGTCATAGGTTTTTGCCTTTACAATTAATCCATCCTAATTCCTAATCTTGCCTACTTCAATTCTTCCTAACTAACTTAATTTAATATAAATAATATTAGGTGTATATTTGAATTTATTTATTTTTAAAAAGTTATTTGTTTTTAATATTTTTTTCAAAAAATGTAAAAATTAAGCAATTATTTTTTATAATTTTTTAAACGTGTTACTAATTAAATTCAGTTTAGTACTTTAGTCAAATCAAACTCTACGGAATTGAACCAAATGAAATTCAACTAAACTTTTGGTATATTTCTTTTATATTTTTTTATTGAAGTTTTTTTAATAAGTTTTATATTTTTATCTTAATTTTTTAAGAAGTTAAATGTTTTTTTATAAAATAATAAATACTTATCATTGTTATAAGAATTTTAAAATTTTGTTTCAACATCAAATAATAAAAAAATTTCGCATTTAATAAAATCATACAAGATATAAACGACTTGTAACTTAATAAATTTAAATAAAAAGGTAAAGTGCAAAAATATTAAGGGAATTAGATCATACAAATGAAGAACTAGAATAAAAAATAAATTTAATGAAAGTTAGACTACGGTTTTTTTAATTGTACCTTAATGGAAAATTTAAAATAGATTAAATTGTGATGCATTTTGTTTTTTTAGGGGAGGGAATTATATAATTTTAAAATAGAATATAATTTTCATGGTATGCAATAATGTGTTAATTATTTATTAATTTATTAAAAAAATAATATTCTTAAGCCCAGGCAAATATTAATTGTTATGAAACAAAAAGGCAGATAAATATACTTACGGAAATTCAAATATTGATTTAAACTATCTTAAATTTTTAAATCAAATTAAAAATAAAAAAATTGAAATCATTAATTTAAATTAGATTATATATACTTTTATATTGTGTATGAATAAAGTAAATCTAAATTACTAATTACATAAATTGAAATAATAAAAAGGTATTTATAGACTTTCAAATAACATGTCTATTAAAAATAATTCATTTTTTTATTTTAATTAATTTTTTATAATTATTATTGATAAATTTTCTGGTTTTATTTATTTATTTATTATTATTAATTAGATATTTTAAAAAAATTTGAATACTCATAATCTAAAATACACTTAAAAAAAGGGGTTAGCACAATAAAAAGAATAAAAGAAAAACGGAAAAGGTGAAAGATTCATGGTAAAAGAAGTGGCCCTTTACAATAAAAAACAGCTTTCCCTAAATTCTCCTTACTTTCGATTTCCCCAACATAGAAGGAACCCAAAACGAAACAACAAAACACAAGTGAGCAACCTCACTCCCTCACTCGCCTCACTTAAAAGCCACACCCACGCGCACACTAATTTCCACAGCAACCCCACTCCACTCATCTCTTTCTTTACCTTGCACATAAAAAAATTAAGTATACAATAACGAGGAAAAAGACCGTTTATTATTTGCTCCTTTTAAAAAATAGAGCGAAAGAAAAGAGAGAAATATAGAAGAACGGTAAGATCCCTTAAACGTATATTTAAGGATATATAATAAATTTTTATTAAAAAAATAGTTTTTAAAAAAGAGTCATATTTAAAATGTTGAATAAAATTAGCGTAAAAAATAATAAGTGCGATAGAAAAGGTATGTTGTGAGAAGTATTGTTTGTCTTGAAATATAAATAGTGACCCTCTTTCCAATGAGTGGATGATGCACGTAGGAAACTTCGTGGAAGGTACCCAAAGAGGGAGAAATGGACATTCTCCTTCCCACACATCACCCATTTAACCCCTTCACCTTCCACCCTCTTTCCTCACCCAAACCCAACAACGCATTCTTCATATTCATTCCCAGCACACTCCCTCACCCACCACACGCCCAATGAAGCTCATCAACATCAACCCCAAAAACCTCAAACTCTCCCCCAAACACCTCTTCCGCTCCAAAAAGCAGCGCTCTTTAGTCTCTAGATCCGACCCGCTTTCATTCGGATCTGGATCCTCTTCTTCCTCTTCCGACGACTCCACGCATAAGACCCCCAACGCTGCTGCTCCCGCCGGCTCCCAAACCCCCACCAGCGTCCTTCCCGACGTCACCGTCGACTGGTCCGACATCACCGTCGACGTCCGGTGGGACCTCGCCCAGGCCTTTCGCCTCATCGACCGCGATAACGACGGCGTCGTTTCGCGGGAGGAGCTCGAGGCTCTCCTCACTAATCTCGCCGCGTCGTCTAGTCCGGACGACGTGGCGTTGATGCTCAGCGAGGTCGATGGTGATGGCCACGGGTGTATCAGTGTGGAAGCGCTAATGAACCGGGTCGGGACGGGTTCGGAGCCCGGTTCGGACCCTGGGGAACTGAGAGAGGCGTTTGAGGTTTTTGACACGGATCGTGATGGGAGGATCTCTGCGGAGGAGTTGCTTAGGGTTTTCAGAGCGATTGGGGACGAGCGGTGCACGTTAGAGGAGTGCCGGCGCATGATAGAAGGTGTGGATAGGAACGGGGATGGGTTCGTGTGCTTCGAGGACTTTTCGCGTATGATGGAGTTGCAGCGATGATGATGATGATGTTGGTTGTGATTGTGATGATGATGTCAGATGATGATCATGATCATGTTATGAGATAATATAAAATATATGAAGGAAGGCAACTTCATGATTTTTTAAAACCCTGGCTTCGTTAGTTCTCCGTTCGTTTGTTAGTATTATCTTTGTGATTTTTTGTTTGTTTGGCTCCCCTTTTGATTTGGGTGTACAAATTTGAAGGCGAGTGAGAAAATGCGTTCTGAATTGAATGAATTTGTATGAAATGATGTGATTGCAGAGTGGAGCTTGACAAAACCGTACATAATTGGGAAAATATCTCCTACCTTACATAGCTTTACCTCTCAGAACTCTGGAATAATCACATCGCACACCCTTTGCAAGCATACGCTTACACTGTAGAGGTCTCCTGTTTCTTTACATTTTACTTTTTAACTCTACATTTAGTAAATTAGACTATATGAGACTAATTTGTTTATTTTAATTATAGTTTTTAAAAGAATATAAGACATTTAAATAATTATTTGATTTCACTTAATGTTCTTGACTTTATTATTAATAAAATAAATTATGTAATTTTTTGTTTAATTAAGTGTTTCATATTTATAAAAATTGTATAATTTAAATTTGGTTCTTACAAAAGTATTTTTGTTAGGATATTATTTTATTACGATATAAATTAATTTTTAGCTTTTTTTATTATGATATAAATAAACTTTTTTTATTGTATTAAATCAAAATCTTATTATTTGATCTTTAAGTGACTTTTTAACTTTTTTGGTTAACTAACTATTTTATCTCTGACTTTTTTTAAAAACATAAGAGAATGCTAATCATGTATGAATTATTTAATTTTATTTTATTAATAATAATTATGAATTTTTTTATTTATCTATAAATTCATCAAATTAATAAGCTTCATGTTAATCATTATGTATGCATGATTTTGGACCATAAATAATAATAGATAAAATAAGTATTCTTTCTCTTCAAACTTGAAATTAAATTTTATTAATAATTATTATGAAGACGAAAGAGAAGAGGAATTGCGTATTAATGGAAAGAATGAAAACACTAATTTTTCACAATTATATTTTACATAAATATAAAATTTAAATTTCTTAAAACTTTAATATTCTTTTATTTGATCCTGCATTTTTTTTAAATAAGTTTACTATCTTTCTTATTTTTAGTTAAAATATATATTTGATCTATATAATTAATACTTATTTATAAGTTACTTTCTGTATTTAAAAAATTTACGTTTTAATTTTTATATAAGTGTTTTATTGTATATTAGTTTTTGTTATAAATAATTAATAATGAGAATTAAAATATAATAAAATACTTATATAAAAATCAAACTGCAAATGTTTTAAATATATAAAATAAATTTATAATTTAACTTTTTCTTTTCTTTTTTTTAGTATGAAATCTTATTTTTATTAAACACTTTTTATCTTTATTTAATATTTTTAACTTCAAATACATTTTTTATTCCTCTATTTGAGAGCAATTTTTAAGCTAGTTTCAATTTAAGCGAAAAAAACATTTTTGATTTAGTTGCCGTCACGAGAGGATATTATAATACTATGAATAAAACTCGTGTGACAAACAAAATATCCACGTGACTCACAAGTTCTTATTCAAACACAAAAATACACAGCTTTACAATAATTTTTTAACCGTTTTACTCTTCACTTAAAACTTTTTTTGTTCCTCTCTGCTCAATTTTTTAGATCTTTTGTAAACCATTATCATTAGGCATTACATATTCAATAAATAAATTTAGTTGGAATAGTTATCAATTATAATTATCATTTACTCAATGCAATCCTTTGCATTTGTTATTGACCTCTCCAAAGTTCAACCAAACCACAAAGTATAAGAATTTTCTTCAGTCTAAATAAAAAAGACTTCCTAATTTCAAGCATTTAGAGGTAGGTTATGGTGTCATGGCCATTGGTCGATAAAATTATATGTTTTTCTTCCCATTCTTATTTTATTTAGTTCTTGAATTTAATAGATCACATGGTTTTTTTTTTTACTAAATTTTAGTGCAATTATATCTACAAAATTCAAACATATAGTATAATTTAAATTTAAATTATTTCTTTTTCGCTTATTTGTGTTTCTTCGTGTTCTTTAACAAGTTTATTTATTTTCTTAATGCATAATAAACTAAGTTAATAAAAATTAATAATAATATTAAGTACAAATTTTTAAATAATAATTAAAATACTGAATTAAAGTTTTTTATTCAATTTTAATAGGTATCATAGAATAATTATTTTTAAGTTTACCATAACTACTTTTTCACATTGAAATAGTTAAATAATATAATTATATTAAATTAACAATGTGAGATATACTTTATGTATTAATTTCATATTATTTTAATCCTGAAAAAATATTTTTATCTTTATAAATTATATTTTTAATCGTAAATATTTATGATTCTTTTTATATAATTAAATAATTTTTTAATCAGCCTTTGATAGCTTTCTTTAATTATTATTATATATATTCTGTTTAATTTATAATTATTCTCTTAGTGATTTATTTACATATTTACTTAAAAATATCTTACAAATTTTTTTTAAAAAAATTTCCCTTTCCTTCTTATGAATATATGTGAGAGGTGAGGAAGACATTTCCTAATTTTTGCAAATCCTTCCTCAAAATTATCCCATGAATCTCCCTTGTTAGTTTCAATCATATATCTCTTTGAGAAGGTTTTTAAATCTGTATTTATCTTTTTTTTTTCTTCTGATTATGGATTCTTTCATAATTTTGGTTGTTGTTTTGAATTTGCTATTTATCCTGAACAACTAAGCCTATGAATATGGTTTTGGCAGATCACTGTGATATTTGATTTGAATAAATTTTTTTTTTCAAATGAATTATATTTCTTTCTCAACTAAACTTTTTATTGTTTCGATTATTAACAAGACCTTATCAACTTTATAATTATCTAAGTTAGTTGTGCGATAATTAAAGTTTTATAAGGCAAGTTGAATTTAGAATTTTATAAAAAAATTTATATTAATTATTAGGTTGACACGTTTATTGAAATTTAATGCTTTGATATAACATCTTGCATGATCTAATGAATTTATGAAAAATGATATCAATATTACATAATCATTAAATATTGATAAGATTAGAAGAAGTGTATAGTAATTAATAAAAACATAATTCATAAAAAAAAATTGTGTAAGAATCATGATAAACACATTAAGGTGAAGTCAGATGCCGTACTCCATAGGTTAATACAATGCAAAATGAGGGTTTGGGTGAATTTGGAGGAATCCACAAAAGAAAGTTTTAAAAATTGACGAGAAAATGAGTACTTTATCAAAATATTAAATAAAAGTATATTTTATATTAAAAAAATATATTTTTTATTTTTTTAAAATTTTTTATTCACTTTAATCTAAATCTAACATGTATTGTGTACCTAAATATAGTAATTAAGTTTATTATTAACAATTTTTTGTATATAAAAAATTTAACAATTTTGATAGATATTATTTTTAATTTTTTAAAAACAAATTTCTTAATTATTTATATAATATTTAAATTAATTCACGTAATATATCATATCAGAGTCAACGTAAATAACAGTGTGGCATTTATATTTTTCTTCCTTTGATATTTTTAAAATTTTATTAAAAAATGTAATATCATAAAAACATATATTGTTCACGGTAATAAATTATTAATAGAGAAATAATATAAAAATAAAAAATAATTTATGAGAGACTGATTAAATTAAAAAAATAAAATTTGAAAAGATAAAACTTGATTTAAAAGTGAGAAAAATCAAAATGGCGATGAGAATAGTAGCGAAAATATGAAAAACGAAGCATTATGTTGTCTTGAATTTGGCATCGGATTCGGAATATACGTGGGTTTTGACTGACAAAGAAAGCACAAAGTTTTGTTTTCTTCGACCATTAGTTGTCTGTGTGTGCCCTGCTTTTCCTTTCCTTCCACTTTCCCGGAAACTTCTTCGCCTCGCTCCTCACGCTTCCAATTTAAATTCGATTAAATCAACTCTTCGCTTTTGTTTGCTGCGACACATTACATATCAAATAAAAATTTAAGAATATTATCATTAGGGAATCACATTTTGCTTTTCTGTTTCCTAGCAGAGATAAACAAATTATTATCATAATATATAAAATCGTAATGTGTTGTGTATGTGTATGTGATATTAATTAATCAAATTTTTATTTTCTTTTAAAATAAAAACTCATTTTAGAAGAACGAAATTTGGAAAAAAGTGAATGCTTTCAAAGAAATTATTTATCAAGCATTATTTTCTCTTCCTTTTCGTTTTCGAATAAATTATGCTCATGTTGGGGATTAAATATTAACTAAATTAATTTAATTAATACTTTATTTATAATTATTTCTAATTTAAAAGAGGATAAATTATGGAAATAATTAAATTAACGTATAATAATGTGCTAAACACGCAAAATAGTTACACGTTTCGTTTTAAAAAATTCTCGTCCAAAATTTTTCTATCTAAAACTTGTGAGCCCAAACTCACGCGTGTGCTGGTCGGGCCATCTATCTATCTAAAACTATACCTTTTAACGGGCTCTAGTCTACTACTTACTAGCTGAGATCCAATACACTATTTATCAAGCTATGGCTTTGACCATAATATAATCCAAATAATATTATATATGTTTTTCAATATAATATATACTAAAATAAAATTTCATTTCTATTCATTAAAATATATTACTAAAAAAGAAAGAAAAAACAATCTGGGTGTATCCTCTAAATGAGCTAGTTGTTTTAATTTAACTAATCATAATAACGAAGAAAGTTACAAAATATTTTATTCATATGCTAGATAGAAAAAGTTATTGTACTATATTTCGAATAAATTATTCTATTATCAAAACTGTATTTAGAAAGTCATGCTTGTTTTTTATTAAGTATTTAGGAAAACTTATTATGCTGAAATTATGTTATTTGATTTCATATTATTTCAAAAGGCACAAGAGATAAATGCCATTTTACTCTTAGAGATAGATTTTTCAATCATTTTATATTTTTTGTAAAGTATTCTTTCTGTACAATCTAAACAAAACTCCATCCTCAAATTACTTCTCTTCTTTTGGATTTTTGGTCCAAGTATGTCAAGTTACTATAACCAGGCCTGAGGACAAGAATCAAAATTTGATCCAATAACAATGGGATAACAATGAGGCCCATGTATTGAGATGATTACAACTATGACTTGGGAGGGTGCAGAAGAATAGAGTATATATATGCAATGAGTTTTATTTCTCAATTTGTGGAGGTTACCTTTGCCCTTTGGCCTCTTTTAATAATTTCTTTCATAAAAAAAAATTTCAATGTTAAAATACAATGGAAATTTTTGAGGTTTTTGATTTATTTTAAAATATTTAATAATAAAACATATTTTAATAAATATTAATAATATTAAAAAGAAAATTAAAGAAATCAAAAGTGGTCACTGATTAAGAGAAAAATAAATATAATGAAAGGCATATATTAATATTAATAAATTATAATATTATATATTAATTTTTAATTTTCAATTGTTTCTTTTAATAATTAATAAAAAAATTGTTTACACG